AGAGGCAGGAAGTTGGGAGCTGACAGTCGGGTTGGCCAGACCTGGACAGGTGGCTCACCTGTGGCCTCTAGAGTAAAAATGGCTTTTATATTTGTTAATGGTTGGAAAAAATCAAGTCAAAAGGAGAATAATATTTTGTGTAAAAACGCATTTTCAAAGACGAAATAGATGAAATCGCATTAGAGAGCAGCAGTAACAGCTGGACATTTGTGCTATATTTTGAGGATAAGAAACACTAACTGTACCTCAGTAAGTGAAATGTTGTACCCTCGACATACACAATTCCATTCTTCTCACCAGTAGACTTGCATTGCGAAAACATAATTATTATACTTTCAGTTTTTCCAATGAAAAATGCATGGAAATTCGTTCTCTCTTGCTACGGAAGTGCTTCTATATCTTTAATTTCACTTCTTGGCCTACGTGGCCTAACATACATACTATCTGGTTCTTTACAGAAAAAGGTTTGCCGACCTCTGACCTGTGGAATACAAATCATTCCTCAAGACCAACTTTAAACGTTACCTTCTACAGCAACCATTCCACACAGCCCTTCAAATACATGAACCTTGCGGGGCAGGGTGCCACTGTCACACCATTTGAATGGGATTGCAGCCACTGTTCACTTATAGGGCAAAGGCCCCCTGGACTCCGTTTGCCTCAGGGGCTCTCCTTTCCTCCTGGCAGCCGAGCATCCCACCAGGCTGCACGAAAACCACCTGAGAAGGACCTGGGAACAAACCCCTCACATCCTGCGTAAGTGGTCTGGGAAAGGCACCTTTTGTTCCTTTTTAAAAAAAAACATGCCGACACAGCATAACACCGACAAATGCTGACTTGATTATGCCTCTGGGAAGAGCCAATGGGGCCTGCTCCTTCCTGGCCTCCACTGGGGTCCTCTGTCTTCCCTAAGGTTCCGCCTCTGCTACTGACACTCAGACCTCAGATGCTGCCCAGGTTCTGTGGCTTCAAGCACCATTTATATTTGGTAACTTCCTAAGTTTTATCTATTCTTTAACTGTCCTTTAAATTCCAGACTTGCAATATCAACTGTAGCATTTCAAATGCAACATATTCAAATACTAGAACTCAAAATACCCACCTGCCTATCCCCCTGGGCTGGAGCCTTCCTCTCTAGGTAGATTCCATTGAGAGGCAGTGCTCACACCTGGGCCAGCTGTGATTTCTTAATTTCTCACATGCCCATAACCAATCCATCAGCAAACACTATGAGAACATAAACCTTCAAAACAGACTCAGAATCTAACTATGTTACGCCCCTCCCTGCTACCAGCCCCGCCCAGGAATACTACTTCTTGCTGGGCCTTGTGGCAGCCTCCTGGTTGTTAGATCCCAGCATTGGCCTGTATGGCCAGTTCTCCAAGGAAAGGCTGTGTCCAATGAACTTCTCAGACAGTATTACTGCACTGCTTAGACCTTTCCAGGTTTCCCATCACATGGAGACAGTCTGCACCATGGCAGACACACAAATGTGTGTATATCTCTCACTAGAATGTCAGCTCCATGAGGGTGAGCACATTGACTATTAATTGTAATATCCCAATTTTTTTTTTTTAAGACAGAGTCTCGCTCTGTCACCCAGGCAGGAGTGCAGTGGCATGATATTGGCTCACTGCAACCTTCACCTCCTGAATTCACGCAATTCCCTGCCTCAGCCTCCTGAGTAGCTGGAATTATAGACACCTGCCACCACGTCTGGCTAATTATTGCATTTTTAGCAGAGATGAGGCTCCATCATCTTAGCCAGGCTGGTTTTGAACTCCTGACCTCATGATCCACCTGCCTCTGCCTCCCAAAGTGTTGGGATTACAGGCGTGAGCCACTGCACCTGGCCGTGCCCAGTTAATATTGGTGGAATGAATAAAGCATTTTGTATGGCTTTCAGGATTAAAGGTGAAACCCTGTGAGGGATCCCTATGTAGACTCATTTGTATAGAAAATCCAGTGGATTTAGAAGACAATGTACTCAGTAACAGCAGTTTCTCAGCTTCGTAGACTGTGCAACATTTTCCAGACCTTGAGGGAGATGTTAGAGGGCAGCAAGGTGCAAGTGCCCCAAACAGCCTTTCTCCAGGACAATAGCAACAACAAACAAAGTCAAGCCGGAGCGGAGTACCAGGAGACCAGGGAGCTTACCCCAAGCAGAGGCTCCAAGAAGCCTCATAGACAACTCCACTGCCAGGAGTGCCCAGGAGAGGAATGGAGAGGGAGGCGAGAGCTCACGCCACAGTTTCCTCAGCAGAGAAGGTGTGGGTCAGCCAGTGAGTCCACCGGCGGAAGGAAGGTGCTACTGGCCTGTAAGAGAGCTGGACTCTTGGAATCTCATGTCCAATTCTGTGGCGTAATCAGCAGTGTTTCCTCTGCTATGCCATAAGACATACAGAGCATGACCTGATCAGAATGCTGATGGCCCGTTTTATCATATTGCCGAGGTTATGAAGATGCAGGTCATTACTAATGAAGCCTCTTACACCTCACATCATGGTTAGCATCTGAACTCTCATAAATGTCTTAAGTCCCTTGAATCACGCAAAATCTCTATAAATATTTAAGATTTTTTCCTAAAAAAAGGGTGGCTGCCAAACCTCAAGCTAAGAAACTTTCAGATAAAGTTTTCTTTAAAAAAAAAAAAAGTTTAAATGTTTGAAATTTTTATGGTAAAACATTTTTTAAACTAGAAGGGTTTATAAAATACAGGAAAGACAAATCAGCATAAGATCTGGAAATAATCTTAGGTATTGATCATAGGTCTATAAACTCAGGGCTAGGGTCACTGGAGTCACACAGGGACATTAGAACCCTACTTGGAGTAACTTGCCACCTGAGGAGAGAAAGTCGACTACTATTTCCAATCTAAACCTTCACCAAGGGTCAGGAATGAAAGCAAGAAGACCCAAGAGCCTCTCTCCAGCACTGTCATTACCAGAGCTCAGATTCCCAAACTTTTGCTTCCCTTATATTATTTTCTTCAAAGGACTCTATTATGAAAGGAATTGGTTTTCTAAGTTTTTATTAAATACGTATTCATCAAATTATTGAATATTACACTTTATGTGAAATGGAAGTTAATTCACTAAAATTCCATCTAAGATCAAAGGAACTGGAATGCTCCTAAAGATATACTTAGAATAAATTGAAGAAATCTTAGCCAAAAGAAAGTATATCTATCTAATCATTGAAAAGGCTTTCAAATGTTGCCTTAAGCTACTTTTATTAACAAAATTGTATTTTGAACCCCACTGCTTGACAACTATGGCCTTTGTTTCCTAAGTCAATTCTTACCTTTCTGCGGCCTTGGTTTAACTACTTCCTTTGTTTTAAGGAGACAAAGCCTGTCAGCTCTCAAAATAAAAACCTGTCTCTCTGGTCAGAACATTAACTCCCTGAGTCAAACTTTAAACCAGACTCCCATTGGAACACCAAGTGCCAGCCTAAGCTTGTTTCCAGTCCCCCAACCCCAGGCTGTGGCTGGGGAACGGAGAGGACAGAGGTTTCTCTGCTCCCTCGGGAGACAGGAAAGCCCTTTATTTATTCCTGCTATCCCTCTTCTCCAACTGAAGAGTGTGATCTTTGTACAGAGCAGGTCCGCACATGCCACACTGGTCTGACCTTTCTAGTGAAAAAAAAAACGGGCTCTTCCCAAAGAAAATTTTTTAAAAACTTCATGTGCTTAGGTGTCAAAGCGCAGAGAATTAGGTCTTATCATGACACCACGCACTGGCAAATAAGCCAGCGCACAAGGCCTTGCGATGCCCTCAGCAAAGTCAGCGCAGCTTTCCCTTCGACTGCATCAACTTCCTAGGATTCTGTGGATGTGTCAGATCCTTATTTCTGAGGAATGAGAAATCTCCTGAGAATAAAGATTTCCTAAACAGAACAAAAGTATCAAATCACTCTTGATCAGCAAGCATCATTTTAAACTTTTTTTTTTTAATTTCCAAAAGATGAGGGGTAGCATTTACTAGTTTGACAGAAATTTTGCTTTAATAGAACATTAGTGAACCACATAACCATTCTCCTTAAACACGATAGAGAGCATGGAGGTTATCACTTTGATCATTTTAACCTCCAACATAGTAATTTGCAAACATCAGTTCCTAGACAAGTATTTCAATAACAGGTCGGCCCACGGGAGTAAATAGCACCTTAGCCTCGAGACCTGTTACTTCTCTCTGTGTGTGTACAGATTTTCTAAGTCATTACTAATTCAGATATTCCCTACATCTCAATAAAAACACCTGGGAGAACAAGAAATCAGGACAGGCATCTCCCGTAGGCAGAAGAGAAACCGGGCACCTTGCGGGGCAGCCTCGTGTCACTTTCCAACTCCGCGGGGGAATGGGATCGAATGAAGTGAAAAGGACACACTTCGGCCAACAGCGTAAATCCCATTTCCTAACGGGGGTCAACCGATTCAGGGCAGTTTCACACTTCCCTCAATAAGGAAAAACTATCTGAGGTCCCGCGCTCGCCCCGCCGCCCCGCGGCCCCAGCGCCAGGTTTCGGGGCCTGGCCCTTCTCTTCCAGGCCCCGGGGGCGGAGGCGGGCAGACTCGAACTTCGCCGGCGCCCTAGCCAAGGCTTCCTCCCGCGCCTGCCGCGGGTTCCACGCACATTCCAAGCGCGCGCGTCCGACCCAAGCTGCAGAGCCGCCTCCGTGGAACCGAAGGATGGTCGCTGACACCTGGCCGGTCAAATATTAGGAAGTCATAAAAAACACGAGCATCGCCAACATTGCAACTTCGCAACAGCTTTTCTAAAAATGGAAAAGACTGTGGCTAAACTTCAATCAGATTCGCTGTGGTCAAGAGAGTCCTGGAAAGTTTCTATCTCAGCTTTGGGCGGTTTGCGGTTACCAGGCGCGCGACCCTGAAACCCAAGGCTCCACCGGTTCTCCGTCCTCCTCCTCCCGCCGCCGCCCCGTTCCGCACCGCTCCTCAGAGTGGGGGGCGGCCGGACAGGTGGCCCCCCGGTACTCACTGGTGCCCGCCGGCCGCGGCGCCCGGTCCCGAGGCTGCCCAGGAAGAGGAAGGCGCACGGCCCCGCCCCACGGACGCGGAGGCCCCAGCGAGCGCGCACCTGCGGCAGGTGAGGGAGGAGGCGGCGCAGGACACCTGCCGCTTACGTTTCGCTGGACAAATCCCACGCGCCCGCCGGGCGGCGCTGGGGCCTGAGCCCTTGGGGTCTTCGGAACCGCTCGGTCTTTCTGATCGAAAAGCCGAGGGGCCAGCGGCCGCTCCGGCGTTGGGGGCGGGGGTCTCGGGGGACGCCCAGGCCCAAGGCCGCCCTGGTCCCGCGTGGACCGCGCAGGGCTCAAGGTAGGTTTCCCGGCCGGGCCCGCCCAGCCCCTCAGCGAGCTCGGACGGCGCGCCCCACAGCCAGCCACGTGCGCGGGACTCGCGCTGTGCCCCAACCCAGGTGGGGTACCCCCGGAGCCTTGAGGTCTGAGCCCGCACTGCAGGTGACCCACCGCCCAGCCCCAGCAGAAGACCCGCGGCCCCGCCCCTGCAGGTGACCCGCGGCCCCTCCTCCTCCAGGCGGCCCAGCCCGTCCCTGCAGGTGACCCACCGCCCAGCCCAGGGTGACCCGCGGACCCGCCCCGGGGCCCCACCTCCTTTAGGTGACTCCCCCCTCGTGGCCCCTCCTCCTCCAGGTGACCCCTGGCCCGGTCCTTGCAGGCGACGGACCCTCCACCTCTAGGGGACTTGGGGACCTGTCCCAGCAGGTGACTCACGGCCCCGCCCCTGGACAGGACCCGTGGCCCCGCCCTACTCGGCCCCGCCTGCCCTCGTGCGACGCAGGACCGCCCCAGACGATTGCGCAGGCGCGGCTCCCACGCGCGCTGCCCTGGTGGCGTTAGTGCGGGAATGCGCAGGCGCGCGGGGCGAGAGGCTGGCAGTACGCATGCGCCGCGTCGGCGTGCGTCACGAAGCGGTTTCTTGGCGCCACTACGCGCGGGAAGATGGCGGAGCCGGCAGCCAAGTCCGTGCTGTTTGTGTGTCTGGGTAAGACGGCGCCGACTTATTCATGTTCTGACGTCCCATCTAGGGTTTGGTCCGGCTTATGCTCTGTGGGGTGTGCCGCCGAGCTAGGTACAGTGATGGGGAGGAGGCCAGGGACTGGGGGGCCTTGGGTGTTCCAGGAGTGTCCCGCAGCGCCTCTGTTCCCCATTCGCCCGGTGCCCCTGCCCAGCCTGCCCTCTAAACCTGGGTCCCCTTGCGCCTGCCATATAGCCGAGGCTCTTGGCATCTGCAGCCACAGCCCCTCCAAGCCGAGGTTCTTTCTTCTGCATCTACTAGAATTCCTCTCGTTTCCCTCCAGTGGGCCAGGTAGGCCTGGAGATTGTCGGACTGATGTGGTCTCTTAGGGGCCTCCTGAGTTCTATGACAACATTGTTTTGCTTGCAGGTTTCCTTAGCCCATGCTTAGATATGGACCTGAGCTAAAGAGAGATGAAGTATAGTTTCGGGTCAAGCCGAGGAGACCTGGAGGTTCCTATGTAACGTTGGCTCATGAAAAATGAAAGTGTATTTTATTAATGACTCTTCAGGAACATTCCAGCTTCAATTATTTTCACTCCTAGAATTTCAACACTTAGCTTACCTTCAAATAGAATTTACTTTCCTTTTGGTTTTCAGGGATCTTCCTTTGGTGAAGCACTACAAGGTTGTATTCCTCAGTTCCTCCACCCTGAGAGGAAGGCCTAAATTGTCTATAGTCCAGTTTCTTAAAACTTGCTGTGAGTTTGCATTTCCTGCAGAGTGAAGTTTCAGTTTATTTTTGCAGACTCTCCGTTGTATCTCCTGTACCTTTTCCTGCTCACACCCTCTGGACACTGTCTTCCAGAACCTTTTGTGGCTCCCCAACCCTTTACCTGCTTACTGAGCCTTCATTGCCGGGTGCCCATTATGCATTTTGCCTGGGAAGTCTTTTTATTTTATGAAGTCAAACCCAAACATTTCCTCCTTTGCTTTCCCAGACCATGAGTTGCTTCTTGTGATTCCTTAGTGACATCATTGTACAAATTTTACTATAGTTATTTGATAGTCTGTTGAAGTCTCAGCTAAGTTTAATTTTCTTGAGGGCAATAACTGTGGCTTATTTTTCATTTTATTTCCAGCTTTAGGACAATATAGGATAAACGCTGACTAGGTTTTGTAGAAGTTACTTTCTGTGAAAGAAGAGTTAGAAGGCTCACCGTGTTTCACGTTGGTGGGGGTATCACTTGATTTTAAGACTCACTGAAGGATGAGTGATGAAATCAGGTTTATTAAACAGTAGTTTGGTTTAGGGTGGTTACCAAATAATAGTTTATTCCCTTGTATATTAAACAGTAGTTTGGTTAAGGGTGGTTACCAAATAATAGTCTATTCCCTTGTATATTAAACAGTAGTTTGGTTAAGGGTGGTTACCAAATAATAGTCCATTCCCTTGTATATTTTTGGTTGATATTGTCGATTATTCTGGTATAATGCATCACGATTGCTGTTAATGGGGAAGTGTATCCTTGCATATACAGTAGTCCCACTTTAGCTTTAGGGGATACATTCCAAGATTCCCCAGTGGATCCTGAAACCGCGGGTAGTACCAAGCCCAGCTGCCATCAGTTGGAACAGGTGTGTGGCCGTCAGCTGGAACATGTGTTTGCTCATTTCTTCCACCCACAAATGTGATGTCCTTTCCACCTTAACTGAGCAGTTACAACTGTGGTTGCAGCTTTTGCAGTTGGAGGTGAGACAGCAAAACTATCAGAAATTTCTTTTTCCTTGTTTACATTTTCATGGATAGAAGATTTGTTCATACCATAGATCTTAGTAACCTCAGCATACGATTTTTTTTTTTCTTTCCATAAGAAGTCAAAAACTTTCACCTTTTTACTTAAAGGTAGTGCTTATGGCTTCTCTTTGCCATGTCTGAATTACTAGTGTTACTACTCTTATGCTTTGTGGCCATTATTAAGTAAAGTAAGGGTGACTTGAACCCATTGTGATAGCATCACAATGGATCTGATAACCAAGAGGGCAGTAGGTGGATAGACAGCATGGATACGCTGGACAAAGGCATGATTCACTTCTGGGGCAGGACGGAATGGGATGGCATGAGAATTTATCCTGCTACTCAGAACAGCGCATGATTTAAAACTTAGGAATTACTTGTTTATGTAATTCTTCATTTAATATTTCCCAACTGAAGCTGATCATGGGGTAACCGTGTAAAGTGAAACCTTGGAAAAGAGGGGGCTTCTGTACTTCAGTACAATTCCGTTATTACCATTGTTTCGTTGGAACACATACTATATGTCATGTGCTCCTCTAAGTGGTGGGGATAAATGGAGTGGGGAACACAACAGACACAAGTCCCAGCCTCTCTGGAGCTCACGTTCTCTCAGTTACCAGCAAGCATTAATTGGTGTGCTCAATTGGCTGGTATGAAGCATTAAGAAGAATAGAGTAGAAAGGGGAAATGGAGTGGAGTGCAGTTTTGAGTCGGATGGTCAGGGAAGGCCCCACCTGACAGATGACCTTTAAGTAAAGACTTGAAGGAGGTGAGGAAGCAAGCCTAGGATATTTTGGAGAAGCATCCTGAGCCCAGAGGAAATTGGTTAATATTGGTAAAGGTTTTGAAGGGAGAATACTGGCCATGGTCATGAACCACAGGAGAGCTGCTGTGGCTGGGCCAGTGGCCGGATACCTTTTGTCAGCCAGGTACTCCTCATCTGTACCTGAAGATTTAGCAGATAATTTGAGTGACTGTTTTCTCAGTGCTTCCACTGTAGATGTGTAGGGAGAAATTAATTCCTTATATACCCTGGTCCTTTAGGGCAGGAGTCTGCAAACACTTTGTGTAAAGAACTGGAGTGTAAATATTTTAGATTTCCTTCAAAGGCCATACCACAAAGTTGTAGCACAAAGCAGCCATGCATACGATGAACCCAGCTGTGTTCTAGTGGACCTTCATTTGTGGGCATCAGCGTTGGATGGAACGCCATATAATTTTCACATGTCACAAGATAGTCTACCTTTGGATTTTTTCCAACTACTCGGCAATGTAAAATTCTTACTTTTCTGTGGGCTGTGCACAAAGGTGGTGGACCATGGGCCAATTTTCAGATCCCTGTTTTAGGTCCAGATCTTGGGAGGCCATGTGAAGACTTGGGCTTCCTCTCAATAAGCATTGGAGAGTTTTGAGCAGAGGTGGGAAATGATCAAATTTAAGTTTCAAAAGAAGTGTTTGAGCTGTGGTTTTGAGATTAAACTGGAGGTGGCGAATGCCCTTATTCGTTTGTTGTGTGGTGAGTAGTTGCGTTCTGAGGGGATTTGAGTGGTGACTGCCATTTTACGTGGTAGAGGATAGTAAGAATTGTATGCTTTTGAAATGTAAAAATTTTATTCCTTCAAAGCATTTATTTGGACCCTTTTAAGACTGAAGTGTAGACAAACAGAGGTTTTTCATTGGTGAAGCTAATGATGGAAAAGAACTGAGGTCCTGATTACAGCACAGTTACTAAGAGTGCTTTATATTTTTGTAAGAAATAGACTCACTAGTGAAGATGATGCAGTAGCCATGACCCAGCCAGCATGGTTGATGGAGATAGCGAGTGCTGATTGCTGGGTCTCACCCCCTGCTGGGTGCTGGGTCTCTTACAGGTATAGTAAGCACAGCCCCACCCTCCCAGAGGATAACTGTTGCCTTTTATGAGTCTCCATCCTTGAAATGAAGATGCTGAGGAAGGGTATATAATAGGCTGCCTAATTTGGAAAAGACAAGCTTGAGACTACAGATTGAAACATTTTTCTACAGGCATTTGAAGATGGAATGTTCATTTTTTAGAACTTCTTCCATAGGTGAAACCTGGAGTGCTTGTAGTGTTTCACTGATGACCAGGGTGCTCCATTTTTTCATAACACAATTTGGTAGCATCAGCTTTCGAAATCAACAGGGCAAGCTACGACTGGCCTTTAGAACAGTAGATAATGCAAGTTTTCATATTGTTGTTGGAGAAGGAAGCTGCTATTTTACAGTTAATGATAATTATTTGTAAAGTTGTGGGGCTAATCTTTATTTTTAGATTCTGAGATATTAGGCATCTATTATTACTTATACTGTTCCAAAATAATAATAATTGTCTTAATTTGGAATACAGTGTATGCTGTTAAAAATTTTCCTAGGGTATATGGTGACAGGTAAAATAGTTACACACCCATGGGAAGCCTTTCAGTAATTAAAATGGTGCCGATGACAATACCCGTTTAGAAACGGAACAGAATTTAGAATGTGGAAAGGAAAAACTTCACAACACAAATTAGCATAAAGAGAACATTCAAGGCTGATTGGGTGTTTTTCCCTTTACGGTTTGTAGGTAAGATTTTTCACTGCTGTGGAAACCCGTCTCTGGAGAAAAAGTCCATAAGATGCTTAGGTCTTGCAGTGTAGACACTGAAGGCTGTGGTAAGGCAGTGAGCTGGTTTTCTGAACTAGGGAATTAGGTATGTTTTATAACCCTAGAAGAATCTAATCATACATGTTTAGCATAAACATGTAAACAGAAGACCCTAATAGTAATAAAGAGTAAACTCCTATTTAGTGCTGTCTATTCTCACAGTTCCTCTTTTTTGTATCTGTTTCCTTAATAATGTTTGGACTTAGTATGGTGCTTTGGCATGAAAGAGACTGGAAGGCCTCAGCAGCCCCAGAAGCAAGGTCTTAGAAACCATTGTTCACCTTCCCCAAGGTGTATCATAGGAGCTAGAACTCCTCTCCCTGAAAGCTAGCCATAGAACCTAGAAAGTTCACTTTCTCCCTCCCGCCTTCTCTTGAAGAAACCATTGCAGTGGGGTCCTGCTTCATTCCTGGGGTAGGAAACGCTGTGGCCCTGCTGGGTTTCCCTGCTCAGTTTACTCTGGTGGATGATTTCCTTTTGTCCAGTCCCATTTCTACGTGGCTGTTTATTGGTCATCGAAGCATAAAAACAGTTTCCCTGGGTCTTTTGGGTCTTCATTTCTGAAGGCTCCATGTCACATAAAAATTGATTAAATAAATTTCTTAGCTTTTCTCTTGTTAACCTGTCCTTTGTTACAGGAGTGTCTTCCCTGACCCTTATGATAGGTGAGGAAAGCTGTCACACCTTTCCACTCTGACACAGTCTTGTATTTGCTCCTTCACAGGAGCCTCTTAGAACGTCTTTCCAATTCAGTCATGTGCTCTTCTAGTGTTTCCTTAGCCCTGCCAGTCATTTTGGTAAGTTGTAGGAAGGGTCTGTGTTTTAAACAACACTCTGTCTTCAGGCTAGGGCATAGTGCTTAGCACATAAAGAGTGGGCATGTAAAATGTGTTTGAATAAGTCATGTTACCCCTTTCTGTTTGTAGGACTTTCTTTTTCTCTTCATAGTGGCTGCACAAAGTCCAAATCTTGGCCCAGTGTTTTCAGGCTCCCGTATACCAGCCCATCAGTTTCCCGACACTTGCTCTCTGTACCTGAAGCATCGCAGCCTTACCTTTTTAGTGCCACAATCCCCTGAGTTAAATGGCTTTCCCTTCCTCTGTCCGTTAAGATCCTGATCATCCTTTAAATATATCATATTTTTGCTTTGTAGCATCGTTCCTTTTCTGTGCTGCTCTAGTACATTGCTTATCAGCATTCATTTTTCTACTTTTTTGATAGCCAACTGTGTATCTCCTATAAGTACATTGCTTGCATAAGGTCTATCTATTTCAAGATGAAGTCTTACGTCTTTTTCCTCTGGGTAGTCAGGAATTTGGCCCTTGCCTTGGATTCTGGGAGGTAACCTCTAAAGGTCTTAGAGTTTTCTAGGAGTGATGGGAGTGTCTTAGTTATTCAAAGTGGCTGCCATTATTTATGCTGATGAGATGACTCAGGTGGGGGCTGTGAGCCACCTGTGGGAGGGGAGGGAGCCTGCAGATTGAGTTCTGCTGAATGGCCAGTGATTCAGCTCATTGTGCCTCCCTCCAAAAACCCCCAGTAAAACTGCAGAACACCAAGGCTCTGAGGAGCTTCCTGGGTTGGCAGTGCTCTTTGAATATCACCCCATGTTGATGACAGCAGGTAAGGTGTCCCACAGAACAGTGGAGCTACCTGTTAGGAAACCTCCCAGAATGTGCCCTGTGGGTCACTTGCTTTGGTTGGTTTTAATTTTTTATTGTTGTTGTTGCTGTTATTGTAATGAAATTGTAACGGTAAATGTTCTGTGGAATAATGGTAGGGAATTATCAAACCTGAGAGAGTCTTTGGGAACCTGGATGTCTCCCTGCTGGTCTGAAGAAAGGGTGGCCCTGCTGTCAGACGTGGTCTGGAGAGTGGTGTCCCTGACCTTGGCTGCTGATGCCTGGATCTGTGTCCTCTGGCCTCAGGGCTTTTTGCATGTGATCGCTCAGTAAATGTTGGTGTTGAATTGCTGTTTATGCTTAAACGTATGTTGTATATTGTTTTCTGAAACAATATTCATCCTTATGTGTGATGTACTTGAAAATACATACAGTTGACCCTTGAACAACAGGGGTTTGAACTTGGAGGGATTGATTCGAGGGATATTTTTAATCGGGCATGGATGGAAAATACCATATTCTCTGAAGGAGAAACCCATCTATATAGAGGGCTGACTTCCTATACTTGGGCTCCAGATGAAACAGGAGTCAGCTGTGGGACCTGTGTATGCACATTTTGGTATAGTGGGTAGGGGTGGGAGGGTGTCCTGAACCAGCTCCCTGCGTCTAGTGAGGGACATAACACTGTATTTTAATTTTATTTTGTTATTTCATTTTAAAATAAGCCAGTTACAACACACTTTATTTTTATGGCTCACTCCTGGATCATTTAAACAATAATTTTGGTTAAAATTGTTTTTTGATGTCATCTCTACCTGGCTGGTTGGTGTCACATCACTGAACTTGGGCCTGATGGGCTGTTCTCCAGCAGGGTATGCCCTCCTGGGTGGACAAAGGTGTCAAAGGAGTGTCGGCCTTTGTTTTTCCTGAGGGCTAGCATGGCCCCTGCGTGTCAGGTGTGTGAAGAGGGGGAGCTGGCGTGTCCCCTTCCATCCAACCTAACCCTCTGTCACCCCTTCTTTTTTTTAAAGGTAACATTTGTCGATCACCCATTGCAGAAGCAGTTTTCAGGAAACTTGTAACTGATCAAAACATCTCAGAGAATGTAAGTATCATTCATTGTCTTAAAGAGACCAGCCTTAACTCCTGGGCAGGAAATTGCCAAAAAAAATTCCATGTTTCTTCCCCTGCAGTGGAGGGTAGACAGCGCGGCGACTTCCGGGTATGAGATAGGGAACCCCCCTGACTACCGAGGGCAGAACTGCATGAAGAGGCACGGCATTCCCATGAGCCACGTTGCCCGGCAGGTACCGTCCTTGGACTTGAAGTTGTGTGTTTTGTGTTTCAGTGGGTCATTGACAGTGGTGCTGTTTCTGACTGGAACGTGGGCCGGTCCCCAGACCCAAGAGCTGTGAGCTGCCTAAGAAATCATGGCATTCACACAGCCCATAAAGCAAGACAGGTAGACAAGCTCTTGTTCAATTTCTAATATGTAGAGTCCAGTAACTTGAGAAGTAGTGAAAAAGATTAACCAGACTTATCTAGTAATGAATGTGTTTATTTAGGGTGAGTTTAACCAGTTACAGTGTCCATTTTGTCTCACTTCTGGTTGCACAGTATTGAAAGACTTGCATGATTTTGGAATTTACTTATTAAATCATACATGAAAGCCAGGTAATTTATAATTAGAGACCCTGACTGTGAGCTGGGGCTAAGCAGTGCTCTGCGTTCTGTTCGTTCCTGCATAATTTTTATTAAACATTTAGGCCATAGTAATTATACTGCCTGTATTACGAGTTTGTTGCTAGAATTAAGTTATATACAAAAGCATTTTTACAGCTGTGAAGTGCCTTGGTAACATAGGGTAATACCAACAACATTATGGACACATAATTACACTCAAGCTTGCAGTCTAATAAAGTCACAACCAAATTCTGCAATTTCAGATGAAGATGACCTTGTATGTATATTATAAATTAGAAGCTAAAGTTGATTTTCTAAGAGTTCTTTATTTAAATGAAGCCCTCTAGGACTGACCTGTTCTGAAATGGAATTCTCATTGGTCAGGTGATTAAACATTTTTATACAATTTGTCCATCCTAATCTCTTCAGGCTTTTGCTTACCTTGCCTGTTTCTGCTGACCATTGTTGAAAATAGATTTATTTGAAGCAGTCTTTCAGAATTATGAGTGCTCGTACTTGCAACTTTTATGTTTTTAAAGTCAGATTTTTTTTTATACACTAAGTTTATAATAAGAGTGGATGCAAATAAAGTATTTTAAATACATATTAGAAACTTTTTAAAGAACAGTTTTAATTTCCAGTTTTGGAATCAGTGTTTGCATGTGTTTTTTGCTTTTCCTGTTCCTTTTAAGAAAATTTTAAGGTATGTTTTATGAGTCAGTATCACGTCAGAGCTTTCATGTTTACAAGTTCTTTTCCTTTACCAATGTCGCAATTTATGTGATAACTATCGTACATTTCTTAAAATCTCAATTTTCTCAGTGCCTTAATGAAATATTTTTAGGGTGCCTATTTCGTTTTAACTCTTACAGTTAGTCTTTTAGAGTACATGAGCTTTATGCCCAGGTAGTTCAAAGGAGACTTTTTTTTACTTTATTATGCATTATTTTCTCTTTTCAGTAAACTGCATTGATTTGTGTACACAGATTGTGAGTACAACCCTGAGGTTCCATAGCAGCCCTCTCCCTACTGCTTCAGAAGTCCCCACAAAAAAATTTGTTCTACTTTTTAATTTCACAGAAATGGAATTATAGTACATACTGTTGCCCGTCAGCTTTTTTTTTTTCTTGTGAGAATCTCTCTGTTGTTGATTGTGCCAATATGATTGTCGTTGCTGGATACTGTATCATTTCTCAGTTGGTCCATTCTACTCTTAGTGGGGGTCTGGGTGGTTTCTAGTTTGGGGCTACTGCAGATGGTGCTGCTGTGGGTCACGGTGCACACCTGCATGTGGTTCTGTCACAGTGCACACCTGCGCGCGGTTCTGTCACGGTGCACCCCTGCGCGCAGTTCTGTCACGGTGCACCCCTGCGCGCGGTTCTGTCACGGTGCACCCCTGCGCGCGGTTCTGTCACGGTGCACCCCTGCGCGCGGTTCTGTCACGGTGCACACCTGCGCGCGGTTCTGTCACGGTACACCCCTGCGCGCGGTTCTGTCACGGTGCACCCCTGCGTGCGGTTCTGTCACGGTGCACCCCTGCGCGCGGTTCTGTCACGGTGCACCCCTGCGTACGGTTCTGTTGGAGTCATGCCCAGCAGACACAGTGTAGCCGGGTGCACAGTCTCATAAAATACACTGGGGATGTTCCCTCTTTTTCTCTAAAAAGATTGTTGAAGATTGATAGTGTTTCTGCTTATCATTTGAAATTCATCTAATGGGTTTTTGTTGTCTGTTACTTTCTCTGGCAGTCTTTCAGTTTTTCCTTTCGGTATTTAGCTTTCAGTAGTTTCGGTGTGGAAGGCCAGATATGATCCTGAAGTTGTGGCTTGATGTTTTTCATCAATGTTGAAAATCCCTGGCTGTTATCTTTTCATATTGTACTTTTCTTTCTCCTTTCTCCTGAGATTCACCTAACGTGTATAGTGAACATACATTTCTTATGCTGTTTTATTTTTTATCCTTTTTACTCTTCTTCAGTCTGATACTTTCTGCTGACCTGTTTTCTGATTCATGAGTCTTTCTGCTGTTTTCAAACAGTTTAAAGATTGTCTGTTACTTACTTAATTCTTTAAGTTTTTTTTGTAGATTCTAGTTTTCTGGAGAAATCGTATGTCATGCTCCATGTTTTCTTGAACATACTGTCATAGCTGCTTTAAATACAGTGGCAAATCTCATTACGGACCGTTCATGGGTCTGCTTGCCTTTTCTGTTTTTTTCTCTTTGTTTTGTTGTTTATCTTCGTCTGTTTGCGCTGCTCTAACAGTACCTGAGACAATAATTTCCAGCAGGGATTTATTTCTTAGAGTTGGGTTGTGAAGTCCAGAGTCAAGGGGCTCAAGGGGCTTGTGAGGTCCTTCTTGCTGCATCGTCCTGTGGTGGAAGGTGGAGTCCAGAGAGTGCCCCAGAGAGAGCAAGAGCAAGAGCTAGAAAAGGAGAGAGAGAGGATCCATCACTGGCAAGAGCCCACTCCCAAGATAGTGGCGTTAATCTTAAAGGTCCTGCCTCTCACTGTTGTTGCACTGGGGGTGAAGTTTCCAACACAGAACTTTGGGGGACACATCCAAACCATAACATCAAGAGTTAAAGAGTTCTGCTACTGAACCGTTTGAGATGCCTGTTCTGAGGCCTCGTCAGTGCCCAGTTTTAGCGGGAAGAGAAGTGGCAAGTGGCAGGAGTCTGCAGATTGGGGCCTGTACCTTTTTTGTAAAGAGTGTTTATTGGAACACAGCCAGACTTACTAATTCACGTATAGTGTGTAGCCACACTATGCTTTGATGCTAGAGCAGCAGAGCTCGAGAGGCTGTGTGTCCCACAAAGCCTGATTGTCACTGATGGTTTTGGTGGGGGCTTTGGTGATTTATATGGGGTTTCTAGTTGTTTTTCGTAGTAGGAATGATTTGCCACAAGCTGTTTCATTTACAGTTGCAAGTAGAAATCCACTACTGTGCATTTGTTACATTAATTATAGCTGTTTCTTTTCTTTCTCAATTATTGTAACATCTAAAAATCATGTAACAGTCACTAAGTATTTTTTTTTAAACTTAAATTAGTGCAGAATTTAGAATAAGTTTAGTATTAAATCCTAGAGCATTTCTCACATAACTAATTTGGAGAAATAACATAACACTGTCCAGGCATGGTGGGTCACACTTACAATCCTAATAACACTTTGGGAGGCTCAACATTGCTTGAGCCTGGGAGGTCAAGACCAGCGGGGACTCCATAGTGAGACCATCTCTACGAAAAAAAAGGTAAAAAATTAGCTGGGTGCTGTAACATGTGCCTGTAGTCTCAGCTATTTGGGAGGCCAAGGTAGGAAGATGGCTTGAACTCAAGAGATTGAGGCTGCAGTGAGCCGTGATCTTGCCACCACCCTCCAGTCTTGGTGACAGAGTGAGACCTTTTCTCTAAAAACAAAAAAGAGAAAAAAGTCAGTATTACACTCATTGTAGATTTTGAAATAAGTGAGTGTCATGGGAATGTTGACAAAATACAGTCCATTCTGTGATTGGAAGTGCATACTAAATCCAAAGCTTCTCATTGTTTAAAAGAACAAGTTTATTAGGAAAGTTACACTTTCCACCTTTGTTCCGCAGTAGATATGTTTATGTTCTTTCTTATTCTGCCATTATTTATAGTAGTCGAAATTCACAAAACAAGTTTTTCATTTATATTTTAAGTAGGCATATTTATAGATTATGTCAGAAAACAGTGATAAGCTTTCAGATTACAATCAGTAGAAATACTGAGTGGCATTCTCTTCTGCATCAGGTTTAAATTATGGATCTTCGATCAGAATAAGGATTATCCGTTATTTCTCCTTTGTCTCTTAGTGAGCACCTCTGACCACCCTACTTAATACTTTCCTCCTCCCTGCCCCAAAGCTGTGTGTATCCCCTCTCTGCTTTCCTTCCTCGAGGGCATCTGTGCCTCCTGCCTGTTGCCTGCAGGAAGGGCAGTGCCACAGGACAGGCTCTGTCTGCTTGGCCTGGTGTTTGTCACTGGGGCCCAGGATGCTCAGTGCTTGTGCAAGAAAAATAGAGTAATGAAGGGGTTAAATATGTGACATTTCAGTAGTGACTGTATTATACATTGTTACTAAAGGATTGAAGCTGATGTATAAACATTGTGTCTACACATTATACTATTATATGATTCTTTTCTGGAACTTTATAATACAAAATATCTTTGCAGTACAATTTTGAGAACTAGGTTGACTCTATTTTAACTTAAAAGTGCCCTCAAATTTATTTAATTAGATAGTGAGTAACAAGCTCAAATACAGTTTTTCATTTTTTTCTTTTAGTACTGCTTTGCGTCCTCTAGGCTTGAATGGTATAAATATAAACACTGTATTTTGACTTCTTTATTCAATTTTAGATTACCAAAGAAGATTTTGCCACATTTGATTATATACTATGTATGGATGAAAGCAATCTGAGGTAATCCTGTTTCTGAGAATATTTCTGTTCAACTCTCAATTCATAGGCCAAGTAATTTCTTATCGAAATTTACTTTTTCTATTATTTTAAAGTTTTGAATAGTCAGTGATGGTCTCTATTTATTTAGAACAGCAAAAAACTTAGTAATCTAAAATTGTCTCATAGTATTTACAAGGAGATACACCTTAGAAAAGGAAAGTCCAATTATTAATAGCATGATTTGATTGGAGAACTAGCTTGGCTGTGATAGTTTTGTATCAGGCACATTGCTCTGCATGAGAACGAGTTTGTTATGTCTCCTAGTTCACACAACTAATGCGTGGATGTGGGATTCAAGCCTAGGTGCAGTGAAGCAGGACCCTGCCATATGCACCTGCCCGAGTCCCCTGCTTATGGCGCCATGAGGAACTAATCAGGATTTACTGTAACCCCAAGATTCTAACTTGCCATCACCACTTATTCATAAATACTAGATGTTTTTGATGAAGATAAACTATGTTTTTAATTACTTTTGTACAAATGAACACATAGGGATGCAACAGTCTTTATTTTTTTATTAATTAGGACTTCTATTAAAATGCATGCATTTTTTAGTTTTTATTTTTCAGTCCTTACTCTGTTCTCATTGTTTTCCCTGACACCATAGCTTATAGGTATCGTTAAAAAAAAATCCTTGTTAGAAGACTCCATGTGCCTTGACTGGTGCTGAGCACCATGCTTCTTTGTGTGGGGCAAGCAGAGCTCCTGCAGCCTCACGTTTGCATGTGCCGTTCTCTCCCTGGAAGCTCCTCCTTGCTGCTTGGGCCATTTGGCTCCTATTTGCCCCTCATGGGTCAACTGAAATTGATTTCTTTATAGAGGTATTCCGCTACCCTGTCAGTAGGCCAGATTGTGCATTAGACTTAGGCCTGCCCTCAGTTCTCGTCCTGCTCCTACTCCTGAGCTGTAAAAGCTCATGCACCGGAGCGCTTGGCTGTTCCGTTCCCACGTAAAGCACAGGCCTGACTCATCGACTCATCTGTCGCAGGTGCTCAGTGGTAATTGCTTAGTTAAGTTTGCCTTTTTCTTTTGTAGCAATGTGAAAGCTAAAGGCGGAAGTCTAGAGTGAAGCTGAGTTTTCAGCTTGGGCAGAGGCTTGAGGAATAAAAGAAGGAAGAGTAATTAAGGAGTGGGTCATGCTGCAGGAAGTGCTGGGTCAAGACACCTGAAGATGGAATTGGTAGCCCTTTGTTTTGGGGCTGGCTCATGTGGTGTTTTAGGTTCCTTTCTATCACCTTTGCTTTCTCGCTGAAACTTGGTTGATTGTCTCAAAAGTATTTTGTGGGAGAAAATAGAATTACTGTATATTTTGTGTAACAGAATCAGTGAGAATAAGCTGCTGTTGCAAGCTCTCCTGCCTTGAGAGAGGGCGGTGGCATACAGCTGTAGAAAGGGCCGCACAGGCCTGCTGTGTGTTCTGCTTCGTTTCAGATCAGGCCGCTCTGTCTTGATTTTCATACGGATGTTTCCTAAGACCCTAACAGATGTCCCTGTTTAACTTGAAACCACAGATTAGAAAACTAAGTTCATGTTTCAATTTTACAGAGATTTGAATAGAAAAAGTAATCAAGTTAAAACCTGCAAAGCTAAAATCGAACTACTTGGGAGCTATGATCCACAAAAACAACTTATTATTGAAGATCCTTATTATGTAAGTACAGTTTATGTTTTAGAGTTAGTATGAAGACCCAACACGTCTGTATTCTGCCATATTACGTAACAGATTAGATTGTCTTAAGGATGTTTTTGTTATTCAGGTTTTGCCATTTTCTTCTCTTTCCTGTCCATTTAGGGGAATGACTCTGACTTTGAGGCGGTGTACCAGCAGTGTGTCAGGTGCTGCAGAGCGTTCTTGGAGAAGGACCACTGAGGCAGGTTCGTGCCCTGCTGCAGCCAGCCTGACTAGACCCCACCCTGAGGCCCTGCGTTTCCCAGTCAGTGTGTAATAATCTTCCAGAGCCCAAAGCCCCAGCTCTTTGTTCAGTTGACTTACTGTTTCTTACCTTAAAAAATAATTGTAGGTGGAAATCAGCTGTGATTGGCAGAGGAATAAATAAAACCCTTTGATTTAGACAGTTGATGGGTATGTAAAGCATTCTTAGACGAGTGCGACATCTCACTTTGCCCCAATTACAAAAATCATTGCCCTCACTTGAAGGTCCAGGTCAACACCTAAGCCCATTGAGACCTAGATCATGGAGTCTACCTCCTCAGTAGGTTTGTGTGGATGGCCTGATGGAGGGCAGGTGCCCTCTGCTCCCCTGCGCTACCTCTCTCTTCCCCAGGGCCTTTTATGTATTCACAGTAGCCCCTCCGTGGGAGCTCACAGTATAGATTAGAAGTGTTTTAATTTATACACACCCGTAGTGCATACTCGTATATTGAAAAGAGAGAGAAGACAGAAGGATTTATGGAATCAGTCATTAGCACCTTTAATACTTCTTGATTTTGTCGAGTTTACTTCATGAGGAGGTCAGCTCATTAGCTCCCATCTGAACCACTTTGCCTCTGAAAAGGACACTTGTATGCTAGTCTATCCGTGGTCACTTGAGGAATGTGACTTTTATATGTACATGTAACTCAGATGTCCAATATAAATTGGCTTATTTTTAAAAATAATTTTAAAAATTGGGAAAAGTTTTATTTGGCATGCATAAATATTGATTGTTAAATATTCTTCATCAGCATTTAATAAATGTATAGGCAGATACAGGTAATTTCTGTGTATTTTGAGTTAATGTCAAAACTATATGAATATTTCAAAATAAACAGGGGAGTTATAAAAATACAGCTAGAGATATGAATCTGATGTCTGCCTGATTTTTATTGACAAGGAAGCATTTGAAAACATTATATTTTCCTTTTTACATGATCTGTGATGTGTGCATATTTATCTTCAGGATGAGGATAAATGATGAAAATAAGCACATTGCTGCCCTATATGATAAAATCTGGTTTCTGAAAGAAGTTTGAGGTCCTGCAGCTAGAAAGCCCCCTTGCCCAACACCATCCTCTAACCCACGTCGCCCCACGCTGCGCCCTCCTGTGCAGTACGCACAGCCATCTCCAGGACTGGACCTCAGTATCGTGAGGGTCCCATGCAGTGCTGGGGAGAGGAGACACGTTTGATTCCTCACTCACTAGTGCCTGGAGGATGAACTGCTGCCAGATGAAAGTGAGTAGTTTCCCCATGGTGCCGGGGGAAGTGCCAGGCTGTCTTTACAGGGAGAAGTTTCGAAAACCCAGCGAGTCTTGCTCTTTTTGGAATTACTCAGACATGCAGAAAACTTAGGGGTTTATGAATAGATTGGACATTTGAATATGATAGCCTTAAAACAAGAAGTTGGCAAGAAAAGGTCAAGTAATTAGCTGTAATTAGAAAACAGGATTAAATAACATCACTTCAGAAGTTATACCCTGTTCTCTTCATTCAGTAATTGCTTTTAATAACCTCAAAGTCAAAATTTCTTACTCTTCTATTCTTTTATGTTTGTAAATAAAATCCTACAGTTTTTCTTAAATGTTTATCTATATAAAATACAGATCCTCAAACAAATCCTAGGACTCTTGACTTCTTGATGGCTGTTCCCAGACAATACTATCTGCCGACAAGGGCAGTGAACAGAGAAGCCCCTTGCTTTGCTGAATTCAGCTTTTTACACTGGATCTGGTTAGATTTGTCTAAAGTAAGTCTACATGTAACATTTTGAGACTGCTTAGAAGACTGAAGCCTCCTCTTAGTGTAGCATTTTCATGATTACAAAATCCCTTGGGAAATAATGGATACAATCTTATTTGGCATATTTCCCAGCAAATCAGGGCCTATCTTAAGAAATTATGTCACCAATATATAGTAGCCTCTACGTTAAAAAAATGCTAATTATCCGTTACAGAAATTCTCAGGCTTCAAGTTTCATTTATTTATGGCTTTTATATTCTGTGACCTTTTGCCAGTGTAATGATCTCTCAGTAGATCTGTAAAACATGAATTCCCAACAATGAACTCATTAGAGAGGTAGAGAGTCACTTTGAAGACTATTCATTATAACAAACACTTCATTTATTACTTGTGTTTATTTACAGTATTTACATATTGCACAATAGCTGGAATACTATTTTACATTTATTATACAAAGAACCAACAGAATTAAGCTGGATATGTCCATAGACTTACACTCCACTGTCTCTAAAACATGACGGAAATTTTAATTTTTTATGCCATTCCAAATAATACTCTGGGAATTGTGAAAGTAATACGGAATATCAAATCATACCATATGCTATATGAAAATATACTTTAAGATTCTGCTTAATGTTTCTAAAGGAATCTTTTTTGCAATTTCACCCAATCAAGAAAATGAAATATTCTCTGCATTTGTTTTATAGCACTATACACCAAATGTGGAGCATTCCTTTTGTGTTTTTAAAAAATAAGAGTGGCAGATATCACTGTCAAGTACGCTGATTTATCGAATATATATCTGCAAACACTGTCAACAGCATACAAAACTCAAAGGACTTATGGAAGAGTCTGTCTGCAAAAATAAATCTCTTGTCCATGAGGGGATGTAGAAAGACAGTTCTGTTCCCCTGTTGGTTTCCAAGGCACTTCTCATGGCTCCTGGTGTGCGGCTCCTGCACAGCTGTGCTCAGTGCTGAAAACAAGTACATTCCGTTTGATAGGACTCTGCACACTTCTTACCATGAATTACAGAAGACCTGGCACTTCAGTTAGGGGACACCGGGTTTACAAACACAGGCCGTCTAAGAGTGCATCTGTGTTTCTCTGTGTTCCAAAAAGCGCAGTCTTGTATTTTGAAAAATAACCCTTTTCTGCAGTTAACTGCGTGGCTGCGATGTTAAAGCAATCAGAAGCCTCAGTAGTCCAGGCCACAGGGATTTATCAGTTAACTGCGTGGCTGCGATGTTAAAGCAATCAGAAGCCTCAGTAGTCCAGGCCACAGGGATTTATCAGTTAACTGCGTGGCTGCGATGTTAAAGCAATCAGAAGCCTCAGCAGTCCAGGCCACAGGGGTTTATCAGTTAACTGCGTGGCTGCAATGTTAAAGCAATCAGAAGCCTCAGTAGTCCAGGCCACAGGGGTTTACCTGGTAGTGCTGCAGCCTCAGTGTTCACAGGATAATCAAGATTAGACATTTGTTTCTAGCATTCTGTGCTGAAATGTCGAAACCATTGGTATTTATTTTTAAAAGAATGATACACTTCAAGGTTCCTAAGATTAGGCTGCATCTGGGAGCATACACTCCGTACTCACTACTCAAAACTCCAATTCTTGAGAGCTCAGGCTTCTCATTACTGACCTGCAAGTCTGGACAGTAAAGTGTGTCTGTGACTTAGGGAGGGCAGCTGGGACACTGTTCTCTTTGGCCTGAAGGGGTCTATTAATGAGCTTCAGAAACTGGCAAATGGATTTGCTCTGAGATGAGGAGGGCAAAGCCTTTCCTGCTGAAGACCTGCTTTTCTCAGCTGTGGGCCTTTCTTTAAGAAGACAAGGTCATGGCTTGCGGTCTTGCCCTGCCGTCCTCGTGTGTCAGGACAGAAAGAAGCGCGTGTGGCCGGTTGTCAACCAGTGGAACCGGAACTGGGGACCACAGGGCCCTCCCGATGCCACCTCGTCGCAGGAGCGTGGGCACCCTGGGACGCCTGCCCTGCCCTCTGCTGTCTCACTGAGGCCTGCCAAGCTCAGCAAAACTCCGCACTGTATCTACACTGTGGTGACCAGGTAACAATTTCTTTGCCGTTTAAACCTTTTGGAATTTGAAGAAATCAATCTTTAGAAACAGAGAGATTAAGAAATTAGAGTTAACAGGGTATCAGTATTTTGAACTTGACCCATGCCTTGGCCAAAATGAACCTAGCTAACAGCCGGGACACCTGTGGCTGTTGCGCAGATGGCCTTTTGGGAACAAGAGCTTGTGAGCCTGGGCCTGGGCCTGTCACCTTTACCTGCGTCTCGCTGTCAGTCAGGCTTTGTTATGGTTGTCCAGGGATCGGGAGAGTGACATAAAGGGTGCTGGGGGCTCTCAAGGGGGTTCTGCCACAGTTTTCCTGTGGGGCATCACTGTGGCGTTTGGCAAAGCATGACATGCCCACACAGAGACCCACGCAGGAGCCCGTGTCCCACGGCATTGACCACGTCCTTCGGTGCAGCAGCCAGTGGAGGGGGGCAGGGGCTGGCTGATAGGCACGTGGACGGAGTAGCTCTTCTATCAGCTGAGACCGTGGGGAATTGGCTCTCCTCACTTGTAAGTAAATGGAAAATTTCCAAGGACGTCCCTGGCTCATCTCTGGGAGCAGTGTGATTTAATTATAAAGAAATAAGTAAAAAATTAACATTCTCATCTCTGGCATATCACCTGGGGTGCCAGGAATATACATCTATTCACTGATTTATACAGAAAAAAAACCTTGCGACACAGGAGGAGGAGGAGAAGCTTGAGAGGACTGGAAGGGCAGGGCATGGGGGCGTGACCACAGCACTTCTCAGTTTAGACTGGCATCGAAACCATGCCTTCACCACTGCCAAAGAAAAAGCACAGCCTGTGCAAAGCGCAGTCTCAACCGCCATTGCCCGCGGGCCTCCGCTGCCCAGTGCCATTCCTCTCACTAGCAGCAGTGGCTTCTGCTAAGAAACAGAGTGGAGGACGCATAGGCAGGACCCGCTGTGCCTCCTGCTGGGGCAGGGGTCACGCACCCAACCCTTCTGCTGCTGCCGCCTAAATATTCGTAAGTGCTGCCTCTCCTTAGAGATTACATCTGTATAGGAAAGAGCACTCCCCTACCCTATTCCATTTTACATGAGACATACTAGAGAAACCACTAGAAAAACTCCCTTTTCACGAATGTGCTGGACAGCCATCAGTGGGCAGGAGGCCTGTATTAGTTGTGCTGGTGTAGCCAGATCTGGCAGTGCCTGCACGTAAGAGACATGCGGGACGTATAAAATTGGTGAAATTACAGTTTCATCCTGCTGTCTAAAGTGACTGAATTCTGTGGCACTTACGTCAGGAAAATAAAACCTTATCTTCAAAACATCCGCTGATGGGTCTTATATGTTGCCTATCAGCCCTCGAGGGGCCCAGGTGCAAAGTGTAGTTAATAAACATGGTATGCGTTTACATTTTTACTTATTAGAGGCTATGTAAAAAAAAGTGTTGATAGAAACCTTTAGAGAGATAGCTGTTCTTATGAGCTTACTGTCATAATGATAGATTCCAACTCACACATTGAGCAGATGTGACAGAATTCGCATGGATAGTGTCGGTCACTTCACTGATGAGTGAATGAATGCCGGCCTTGAAGTGAGTAGACAGTTTGAGTGTGCTCCTGGCTTATGCACTCAGTCACATGTTGAAACTGGCTGCCTTGCCGTGTTTCAGAGCAGGACCTGCCTGGTGCCTGTGTGTCCTGGTGTCGTGCAGTGAACAGTTAGCAGCTGCCTGGGCACTGCAGACAAGCCAGTAGGGCAGCTTTCAGCACTGTGAGACAGTAAGAGTGCTGTGCCAACTCTATGTAGAAGGCAGCTACCTCAGCCAAAGAACGCGTGTTCCTAAACTCCCATGAATTTTTCATGTCCCAAGCGGGATTCCCATCTTTGGTGTGTGCTCCAGTGCATGCCCAAGCTTACCTTATCCTCCATGCACACTGGACTGACAGCCAGCCGGGTAAGAAGCCTGGCACATCTTTTATAGTCTAGTGAAAATAAATCACAGACCCTTGTCAGTAATTTAAAACAAAAATAGCATCTTTTGCAAGTATATCAGCTACTAAAGCCATTTATTTCTTTAAATATCTGAATTCCCTGGAAGCAATACAGAATCTGTAGTCTGCAGGCATGGGTTCTAAGTTGTTGACTTAATAATTTATGGTGCTTCAGTGGCAGAAGTCAGATGATGTCAGTGGGGCTGTGGAGGGAGGAGGGACAGACACGAAGAGGGCACGGCTGAGCCGGCCCATCGCTCCTCTCAGAAATAACTTCATGTTGTTTTCTACGTGACAGCCCTTCCATACCCTGGTGCCACTTCTAGGTTATATGCAGACTGAGTCCCAGCTTGAGTTGACCATGACACAAAGCCTTCTGCCTGTAAATTCTAAAGAAAGTGGCTCAAAAGGCAGCGAGCAGAGGCTGGACTGGACGGCGAATGGAAGCAATGTGCCTGTTTCTAACTGCAGACGGATACTCCTTGGTATGTACACAGCCTCCCATTCCATTACCCTGCTCACGCTGCCTGTAGAAACAAGGTGCAATGATCCTGGCGATAAGGGAATTTGGATGACCTATGCAAAGCTGTAATTGTTAGTAAATTTTTACAGTTTATTTCTCAAGAACAGCAAAACCTACTTAAAAATGGGAGAATTTATACCCAACTGAAAATCTGAATTGAATGGGCAGGTTGACATAAATGCATAGAACATGTTAGATAAGTAGCTGGCTCTACTTCCAAAAATATGCCTCCTAAATATTTGTGGCACACATTGCTAGGGGTCTTCCAGAGGGAAAAGCGCGCTGTAACGGCGGCGCTGGGCCGTCTGAACCCAGCGTCTGCCTTTCCCTTTCAGCAGCACCATGCTTTTCAGAACGTGGTTTTGCTAAACAGACTGCCTGTCATGGGTGCACTGGATTGTGTGATTCCAATGGCAGATCTAATCAATGAATTGTGAAAACTTCCACTTGCGGCACGTCCAGGGAACGCAGTTGACTGCACATCCAGCTCAACCCACGTTTTCAGCAATGTCTGGCAAACTTCAATGTGCAGACCAATCGCCTGGGGATCTTGCTAAAACGCAGATTTTGTTCAACAAGTGTAGATGGGACTTAGTTCTGCATTGCCAGCGAACTCCCTATGAGACCACACTTTGAGAAGGCTCTAAAGTTCTTCAGGTCTGACATTCCAGGAGCCCAAGGATTTTCTTTCTAGAGCCTAGCAAAGCACAGAAGTGGCCCGATTTCAGCTCTCCAGCTCTTTGAGGGCTAAGAAGAGGCAGAAAGCAACAAAGTAGCCACTGGTCTCCAAAGGCACAGATCTACCAGCCTCTTCCCTCTCCATGGCCTAGGATGAGCTGTGACCAGGAGCTTAGGATCACACAGCTCAGTTGCTGTGAGCAAAAGGAAATATCAAGTAGGCGTACAGCGCGATGCGCTGGAGAAAGGTCTGCAGAGCTAACCCTGAGATCTATGTCTTAGCTTTACTGCTATCTGACAGCACAAAAGCACTTCCTCATTTATAAATGAAAAGATGGGACTGAATGACTCAGAGGTCACTTGGAAATTTGGAATCTATGATCCTATTACTGTAAGAAAATATTTAACATAAAATATATGCACAGTAAAACGATACAAATGACGAGATTTTCTAGCTCCAAGAGCCAGATAAATGATTCCCGACAGAAGGTGACTGCATTCCAAAAGAAGAAAACGGGAGAGGACTGGCGTACTGGGTCCACGTGGAAGGGTGAGGCCCAGCAGCGAGAATACAGAAACGAAACCCTTCAGGAAGTGTGTGCTGCTGGCCTTGGCATGAGGGTGGTGTCATCAGTGGCATGGTCAGAGGCCGAGGCTGCGTTCATGCATCTCCGTGCTGGTGGTGTGAGTGCTAAATGTGTGTGTGCCTCAGCCTTGTCCAAAAAGTGCTGGTGTTGCCACTTCAGTGGGCTAAGGCTCACTGGCATGCACCTGGCACTCAGAAGAAGTCCTATGAATGATGGTTATTTGAGGTAATTTCGCTGCCTAAACAAAGAAAAACACTTTGTGTACATTGGCTTTCTGTTTGTTTGTTTTTGGAGGGGAAGGCAGGACGGCAAGTGTGGTCTGCTGCCTGGCCCGGCTGGAGAGCCCTGGCGGTGACTAGCAGTATTCCTAGTGTCTGCGTGACTTTTCTGTTAGCCTTAATGAATAAAAGTGGGAGTCCAAATCAAGAAATAATAGGTTAGGGTCCTGTCACTGTAGCTAATGAGACTATAGCAAAGAGAACAAGGAGCTACTTTTGGGGAAAATAAAATGTTTTGTTATGAATCAGTAGCCAGAAGCAGGTTAGGAAGACTGAGAAGAAATAGGAGAGAAAGCTGTCGCGGAGAGCTGGACTGACAAGGGCAGCTCTGTGCTTCTGAGTGATGGAGCCAGCCAGAGAAATAGTTTTGAAATCACAATGAAATTTGTGGGTGATGAGGTTGTAAATACTGATGGGAAGAAAAAGTCTCTGGTCAGAGCTCTGGTCCAGGTCAATCTTATTCTTGGAGTCATTTTAGCAACTCATTCTTAACATCTGTTTGCCACAGTAGAGCACGCACAAACATGAGCACTGGACGAGAACTGACAGACAGAAGGAGGAGAAGGGGAGTTCAGCCCATCCCCAGAGCCTATTATTCCAGGGACTATAAATAATTTCCAGTTTGGCATTAGCTGATTCACTGATGCAGAAGTTAGTTATCTTCTGCAATGGTCTGGCCATCTCTGCCCCTAACTCCATAGTGAGGAAGGAATAGGCAAATTTGAGCTAAGAAGGCGAAGGCCTGTGAGGAAATGGAAGGAGCTGGGAACCGCAGTCTGCACTGTGCTTGCATTTTATGAAAATCCGGTGCTGTTACTTACATGCAGGAATGGTGCAGTCTCTGGTGTTGTGATAAAGTCTATGGAAGTGTTTGCTGCACTTTGGACTAAAATAAAGACGACCTGGAACACGGAAGAAGAAACAGATCATGAAGACTCAGATGCCAAGGAGCTCTGGGAAAACGAGGACGGAGGAGAAAACTCACCTGTAAGGTGTTTTAGAAACTTGTCCTTCAAACTCAGATCTCGAGGAACAATTTCTGTTTCGGGGAAAAGAAAGTATTATATTGCCCGAAGGAAGCATTTTTTGACAATGTGATCTTAAGTGAATGTTGAAAATTAATGGAAACTCCACATTAGCCAAGTTGCTTTGCACAAAAAAAAAAGAAAGAAAGAAAGATTGGGGCCCTGGATTGCAACACATGACCGTGAAGAAGACTCAGCATCACAGTAACTACTCTTGAAGCCAGGTCTGCTCTCTCCCTGTAGGATGCCGGCAACCACACGTTATAGAGTTAAGAAAACTTTTTTTTTTTTCTTTTAAACATTTAACTTCTAGTCACATTTAGATACTTTAATTTTGAGGACCTTGGGAATCAAATCCCACAACATTTCAAAATTTTGAGAGAAAACTTGACCCTTCAAACAAAAAATGGGTTCTAGAACATTACTTTTCTAGATAAATATTTCGGTGTAAATTAGTGGAAATATTCATTAACCTGGTTTATAAGGTAAGAATACCAGAGAGACTCTGCCAAGCAAACTTCTACCACCAGGGTTCTCGGCACACAGCGGGTGGGGAAAACCCTGGAGTCCTCTTTGAGTCCAGCTTTTGTTTCTGCGTCTTTACACGGTCTCCATCTTCACTCCCCTGTTCCGGGCTCCTGGCTGAGCTCCGAGGGGGTGTGGAGCCAGGCCCTCGCAAGGGAGGCGTCCACATCCACGTCTTACACTCGCAAGGCATCTCCCTAGTGAGTCTTCATTCACTCCTAACTTCACGCAGCCGGGATAAAACTGACCTTCTCATGTTTGACCTGATTGTGTCACAAAAGCATTAGAAGCTTTCATGCTTTCCTGGGAAATTCCCCGTGGGCCACCACTCTGGGCAGGGCCGTGAAGGAGCCTAGATGCCTCCTTCTCGGGAACGCTTTGCTGGAAATGCTTCCATTTCCGAAGTGACGGGTGACAGTTGTGTGCGGAAATCAGCAGCCCGCGCCGCGCGTCGCGCTCCACGCGCCAGGAGGAGACCGGGGGCTTCTCCGCCAGGCCTCAGGCGCGGACCTATTGCTGCTATTTTCTTTTTCTTTAAAAAAAAAAAAATCCTGCTGTTCAATAGTCAAAATTGATTTCTCGTTTAGAAACGTGTGTCTCAAAGATAATTCCGTTTCCCCGCAACCTCGGCCCCGGGCGCGCTCGGCCGCACTCACCCACTCGCTGCTCGGGCGCAGGCCCCAGCCCCGCCGCCTCCGAGCGGCCCAGGGCGCAGTCCCGCCCGAGGAGCTGCAGGCCCTTGAGCTCCGCCGCGTGGTGCCTCCGCAGCTCCTGGACGATCTCCGCCACCAGCCGCAGCAGCGCGCGCCCGTCCGCCGGCTCCCGGGGCTCCGCGCCCCCCCGGCCGCGCCCCGCCGCCCCCAGGACCAGGAGCAGCCCCAGGAGGAGCGGGCGCCCGGGTCCGCGCATCGTGCGCTCGGGGCCGCGGGGTGGGAGGCTCCGACGCGCGCCAGGAGCTGGGCTCGCTGCGGGAGAAGGGGCGCAGGGGGCCGGGGAGAAAGTCAGCGGGGGAGGGGGGAGCGCGGGGCGGGGCGGGGAGGAAGCGGGAGGAGCCGCGGGCGCTGGACCCGGCCCCGCGCACCCCGAGGAGGGCGCCCGGCGAGGCGGCAGGTGAGGACCCGCGGTTGCCCCGACGACCCCGTCCGAGGTCCCGCCCACGGGGAGCGGCCGCAGCTGGGGTCGAACGAAGCCCCCGGAACCCGCCCCTCGCCCCTCCTAACTTTCACCCAAAAGGCCGCGTCCGCCGAGCAAGCTGTGCCCGGCGCGAGTGCAACTTTCTCTCCCCTTCGGAAGCCGCCGGCGCGGGGCAGCGCCCCGGCCCGAGGGACCTCGCAGGGGACGCGCCTCCGCGCCCACCTCTCTCCAAGAACGCGGCGCCGCGCGCCGGGCCGGGAGGCCGCGCTCAAGTTCCCAGCGTCGCCTTTGTGCGGTGGTCGCGGCGGGCGCCGAGTCCCCGAAGCCCGCGGAGGAGACCCTCGCTCCGACCCCGGCAGCGCCGCGCTCTGGAAGCCCCTCTGCCCCCGCCTCCCGGCCGCGCCCCCGCCTGCCCCGCGCCGCCCCGGGGCCACCTGCGCGCCGGGGCCGGGCTGGTCACCTGGAGCCGCCGGTGTCTTCGCCGTCTGTGCGCGTCTGTCCCCGCGCCCCGAGCTGCGCCACTACTCCATGCCCGGCGGCGGGCGGAGCGCATGGGACGCGGGGACTCGGGGACTGGCCGCTCCGAGCGCTGCACCCGCGACCGCCTTGGGTGCGCCGGTGCCGACTCCCGCCTCGGACCTCGGGGCGCTTCTTATCCCGGCGCCCGCCGACGTCAGGCGGGTCCCCGAGGGCTCCGAGCCGGCCTTTAATTAGAAGCCGCCGGACTGTCCGTGCCCCCATGCGGATCTCCGTCACCCCCGCCCCCGCCCCCTCCCCCTCCTCCCGCCCGCATCTCCCGCGCGTCTCCCCCGCGCCGCGTCTCCCGCGCCCCTTCCCTCCCCACCTTCCCCGTCTCGCGTCTCCTCCTCTTCCCCCCTCGTCTCCTCCCCCCGCCCCTCCCCCAGGCTGTTTCCCTCCGTTCCTGTCACTTGTGACAGGATGAGAAGAAACGCCTTTACCAGGAACTCGGTTCTGTTTTTGTCTAAATGTAGATCTTGGGCTATTAAAATGGGAGCTGCCTGATTGCTTCTACATTTAATAAGTCGATTAGAGTCTATCCGCTTTGGAGGGGTCCGATCCGCCGGCGGTCCTGGGGTCCGCTCTCATGACCCTCCCAGGGGTCCTCCCCGCCCGAGCGCAGGTCCCCAAGTTCGGGTCCCACTCCCGAGGTGTGGCATCCTGGAGGTGGGAGCGGGGCGGCGAGGACTCCCCCGGCCCCGAGGTGCGCGGAAGACCGCCCAGGATGGGCATAGCCGGCACCCCCTCCCCAGGCCCCCCGCGAGAGTACTAGCGGAGGCCGCTCCCCGGCCGGGACCGCGCCGCCTGCGCGCTGCTCGGCGCTGGACCTTCGGCCGGCGGCGGGTACCTCGCGCCCTGGAGGGAAGTGCCCGCAGGACGGAAGGTGCCTCCCGGGCTGGTCTTTGAGAAAGTTTGGCTCTTTGGATGAAGCCAGGCACGTCCGTGAAAGTTCAGCAATTTGCGTCGATTGTTTTATTCTTGTAAAATGTATGGTCAATGCGTTGCGCACTTTCCCATCCGATTGGTGGTTTCTGGGCAGGAGCTGGACGTCTTCCAAGCCAGCGATCTGGGTGGGAAAGGTGTTCTGAGTGCAGTCCAGAGAGGCGGAGCGGGCGAGGATTGAACCTGCAGCGTGGTCCGGGCGTCGCGGGGCGCCCGCAGCAGGAGCTGGCGGAGCAGGTGCGCGTGGGGAGGCGGGAGGAGGCTCCGCGCCCCGGTCCCCGCTGCTCGGCGAGGCCCGTCCGCGCCCGTCTCTGCATTGGCATCGAGTCCTTCCTGTCTCCCTGCACCGGCTCCGCTTCCTCAGGAGGGGAACGTGTCCCGCAGAGCCGGGCGGGGAGGCCGCGGGGAGACGGAAGGTGGGAAAACGGACCCCCAGGACGACGCCCCACGCCCTCGGGACGTTTGTCTCCGCTCTTTAAAAACAGATGGTTTGATTTCACAGCGAGGCTTTTCTTCTTTTTCTTTTTGCAGGCAACATGACTGAAATGTGAACGTCTCTGCTAAAATACACTCAGGAAAAAGTACAATGTATGTCAAACAGATCTTAGGCACATACCAGGAGGCATTTTTCCTTCTCCCTCTCCCCTTCCCACGTGCGTTCCTCCGGCGAGAGCTACGCCTGGCGATGGGGCCGTGGGGCCGGCCCTCCCCTGCCCTGCTCTGGTCCTGCGCGCGGGGCCCACCTCGCAGCCGGTGGAAACCGCAGCTTCCAGAAAAATAGAAGCATGTGAAGATTCTACTGTTGTAAAATAGCTTGGTGTAAGACAGTTTTTCAAAAACTCTTTGTATGGAAAAAGAAGAAAACATGACATTTTCACATATTATTTTTAATTTATGTAGACTTTTTTAGGATAGTGTTTTATAAAATCAAAAGCTAAATTTCTTCTATAAAATACCAGCAGGATCTATCCTCCCCCCAACAGACACACACAAATTCTACCTGCCAAGGAAGACCTGGTAGTAATTAATATTATCTCTCTTCTTTTGCAGTTTGTAATGGGACAAATGGATTCCTTGAATGTGCCTTTTCTCCCATGCAAGTGTGGGCCAAGCCTCCCGCCCCGCTCAGGAGAGGCTTGGTGGGTCATCAAAGGCATCAAAGCTGACGGTCTTTGGATGAAGGAGACCTTACTATTAAGAATCAGACAATTTATGTGTTCATTTATATTTACCAAGTTCTGTGCTAAAATTATCTAAGTGCTGCTCATTTTATATTATAGAAACCATTTCTACAGGCTTTAACAAACTTAGAGTGTACCTGATTGGTTAATCTTTACTGAACTTTCAAGTTAATGGTATTGTCAAGATGAGCCCTTGGAGTTCTCCAGTCACCAGAAAGACGTGTGCTGTCACCTCTTGTTATACTCCCGGGACAGTGGGGCCTGTGGAACCCGCAGATAGGGAAAGTTGCCGACCCTCTGCGTGGGTTTCACATCCTCCAGCTGCTGTGTTTTCGACCCACGTTTGAAAAATATCTGTAAGTGGACCCTTTGAAACCCCTGCTATTCAAAAGTCGGCTGTACCGTGTCAATACAATCTGGTCTGCTAAATCCGTTGGCTGTGCTGGTTAATGCCAGGGAAGCACCCCAGCTCTTTACTGTCACAAACACACGAAGCTGCTTTTGACAAATGGCTCAGTCACTCCTCTACTTTCTGTATAAAATGAGGTAGTTGGTCTAGTTGGTCACCAAACTCTAAAACTACATCATACTAAGATTATTACCAAAAAAAAGTCTTGACCAGACGCAGTGTTCCCTGCAAAAAGCTGAAGATACCTCACATGAAGTCATCACTATGAGTTTCATCATCTATTTTCAGGAATCGTTTACTTCCTTCCTTTAGGACGTGAACAACATTCTGCTGTCAAGGGTCCAGGAAGCCAAAAAGAAAAGAGACAAAATTAGTAGCAAACTATATTCTAGGATTACTGGAAAATTTTTTTCTACATTTGATTTAGTTTGGTGATCTTTTTGAGAAAACTAAGTTGGATCGTAAGAAGAAAACCGAGCAGAAGAACAAAGTCTGTATTTAATCTGCTCTAACAGTACTATATATGGGTCATGAGATGGGTGAGTTGTTTTTTTTTTTTTCAATTCATAAACAGGTTAAAGTACTGATGTTTTGACTGCAGTCTTTTTTTTCTTCACCCAGAAGGTACATATTTAATTTTAGGTAAATATTAACTGCCTTCAAAGACTTTTAAAATAGGCATATACTCTATGCTTTAAAAGGAGTTGTTATATTCCTTCAATTGTTATGTCAATCATTTCACAACCTAAGTTTGTATTGTAAAAACAAAAAATTACCTTTCATAAAGAACAGCATCATATGGTATAAAGAAATATTGCTTACTGTTTAATTTTTACCAATTCTGTTTTCTTAAACTATCAAAATGCTATTAGTATGCTGGGGATGTGCTAGAAAGTGTTTAAAGCATTTAGAAAGACAAGCTTTCTAACAGGATTAATTTTCCTAGCATAAACGTAATAAACATAGACGCTCAGAAGTGATAATGTATGCATGAGATCTGCCTCTTATTCTAGATCAATAAAGTTCAGCGTTCCACGTGATGCTTCTCCCCTTCTGGGGAGGAAGGAGACTATTCCAGAAACATGGTCATCTACCCCCTTCCCATTCTTTGACACCACTTCTGCATCTACAGATGCACACTGCTATGCATGTTCAGGAGAGAAATTAGGTGAAAGTTTTATTTGAAGGGTTGGGATGAGATAGCATGACTGATAAATTTTTAAAATTTTTTATTGTTTCATGGCCAAGATAAAGAGGACTTTTCATGCGGAAAGGCTTGAAGGAAGTATGGACTTTACCTCCTCCTTCAAACTGGATTTTAGGTATAAAATCTAGAAGAACTGTGATGCTTCTTTGCCATTTGGAGGCACCGATCTGGCATCTTTTGATGGAAGCAGTGAGAATAAATTTGAATGAACATACCCATCATCAACATATTAAAAAAAAGACCCTCCTATTTGGTATAAAGGCTACATCAACAGTCAAACTGACCCATGACAATATGTCAACAAAATATAGTCATAACAACACCAGTATATCTACATTCCATCTGTTTGCTGCTCAAATATCCTGATCAGAAGTGACACACACAATGGTCTGGGGTCATCGCAGAAACATCCAAAGTATCACAAGGGCACCACCTACCAAAGTGGATTTTTGTTTGATTCTAGGAAAGGTAACCACGGGACAGGGGTGCCTCCTGGACAGAGGGAACTGTGCCTGCAAACTCCTGACCAGGAGGCCCCAGCGCTTCTTGGATCTGCTGGGAAGACTGGGCCGCAGGAAGGGGATGGGAGGAGCAGATGGAAGGCACCTCCCCTGAACTCCGCTTTCTTTCAAGAATGCAGCATGGCGGAGTGCAAAGGAGGTGGGCACCAAAGCCACAGAAATGGGCTCAAGCTGATTCCTGCCCACGTCTGTATGAACTTGGGCAAGACAGCTTCTTTGAGCCCAGTTTCTTCACGTCTAAAATGACAGGACTATGTAGAACCTCGGAGGTTTTATACATGTTAAGTAAGATCAGATAAAATACGTTAACTTTTTAGTAAGTTTAAATTTTTTTAACCGACCAATTACTGGTATTACTGCCTTTCAAAGTGTCTGCTGTCACCATGCTGTCTTTTTTTCTATATTTTGTCCCTTACAATATGGCATGAAGGAGAACGTTATCCAATCCTGGAGAATGTCTGGGGCATCAGAATTTTTTGACTTATTCACAGCTGCATAGAAAATCTATAGTTAGAAGTGGACTGAAATATCCGGAATTAGTAAGTTTCCATGTGACCAGCACTCAGAACAGGGGGTGAAGGCTCAGTCCGGCGGACTTGGATTCAGACCTGGGGTGAGCTGCTGCTGCTGTCTGAGGCATGGTCCCTGTGCTGTTAGGAAGGTGTGGAAGTGTGTCTGGCTGAGATCTACTACGCTATGAATTCATAAGAACAGTCTGTGTTTTGCTCACCTGACCCTTCCTTAAAACCATGGGGACATTTCAAGGCTGGTTTCTCTGGTAT